AAATAATTATTACTAAAATAAAATAATAGAATGCAGATTGAACCCAAAAAAAGGAAATTTTAAGAGAAAAGTTTTATTACATTCCCATAAAAGGAAATTTTTAATAGATAAAAATGTTTATTTATTCTAAGAAAAAAGTTTTATTGTTGTGTTTATTACATAATATAGTTAGGTAAATGTTCTTCACTTAAAAAAAAATGATTGGTACAATAAAAAAAGAAATATTGTTATAGATCATTTAAACAATTATTTTTTTTAGTTTGTTTTTGAACAAAAATTTTAAATTTCCTTAACCCCCCACCCCGCCCATTTTTTAAATTTTTTAACCCGCCCGCCCAGCCCGCCCATAGTTTCAAATTTATTTAACCCGCCCGCCCACCTGCCCATTCTCGAAAATTTTTTACCCGCCCATCCGCCCGCCCACTTATATGGGCGGGCGAGCCGAAACCCCGCCCAATGCAGACCTCTAAGAGGAGATGCTTAGTATAGGGGAGACCGGGGCCCTATGGCAAGTGGGGTAAGTAGGCAAACGTCTATAACTTTTTCATTTTTAGAGCTAATTGTTTCAAACTTGGTCAAAAGATGTATTTCTATACATACTATCTAACTTTTGTTCATTTAGTAGTAAGAGCTTCGTATTCAAAAGATATTGATCAAAAACAATTTTTTTAGCCCTTTTGTAACAACTTTATTTTTTTTTACTATTTTTGGCTTTGAGTCAAAAAATTATTCAATGAAATTTAAATGTCATATTCCTCAATGTCTAAGCTACCTATTAAACTTAATCCGGATTTACTAGATTATCTGGAAATATTTTAAGGACCTTTAGGCTAACTCACTACCCACGGGGTAAAACTTCATCGGGTAAAATGGCAAATAAAATAGTTTAATGGCAAAATGTGCCCTTATTGTAAAAATTAATTTTTTTAAAAAATATTTATAATTTGTATCAATAATATGTGTAGTTAATAATCAGATAAACACTTTTATTTATTAAATCTTATATTTTACTAGCAAGAGAAGACAAAATTACTTTCTTATACTCGTTTTGCTTAGATTTTTATGAAATTTATATATAATTTCAGTGTCAGCTTTTTTTTATTAAAATTTTTGTCTTCCACCTTTTTATATTCATCTTTTCATATTTCTAAATTTTTCGGAGATTCATTATTTTATTCCTATACTCAATATAATATTCTTGCCAAATAATGAAATCCATAGTCGGTACTTTTATGATTGATTTGAAATAATCGAACATTATTTAGGGGGTAATGTATAATTTTATTTTGTAATATATAACATATTCAATAAAAATAAACACATCAATTTTTTTAATTAATTATGCAGATTGCAATTTAAAAAATAAATTATTGATGATTTAAAAAATATAATCATGTCAATCCATTAGGGTTTTAAACAATGTTTAATTGCCCATAAATAATATAATTTAAAACAAATATTGAATCAATTTCATATGTAGTTGATTGTAATTGCTAATTTAAAAAACAAGCTTTGCCCAAATTATGCATTTAATTACTATACAGTAATTTACAGTGTTGTTAAAATAGCGCGCTACTTTTTTTTATAGGTAGCTTTAGTTGACTACTTTTTTTAGAAAATAGCGATAGCGGTAGCTCGCTACTAATTTAGAAAGTAGCGAATTAGCGCGCTACTTCGCTACTTTCAATACATAATAAATATATCTAAAAATTATTAAAATATATTTTTTATTAAATCTAAAATTATAATCCTTTTATTTTATTTAATTTTGAAATTTACATTTATATTTAAAAATATTATAAATCTAGTTAGCATTATAAATCTAGTTATTAAAAATGTGTGAGATTGTTGAAGATAGCGAAATTTCTTTGGAAAATGAGAAAAATATAGATTATCCTTTCCCAAAATTTAAAAAATACTTTAATCTTGAAGAAAAAATTACTACTGGATATCAGTTTCAATGCAATAAAATTTTGCCAAGCACTGGTAGAGTCTAGGTTAAAAGGCATTGAGAAAAGGACAAAACTATTTTTTCTATTATACAATTATATAAAATGAATGATTTATTGCTTGATTAGCCATTATTTAAATTGGCTTAATTTACAACACAATCTATAATATTAATATATAGTATTAATATAAAATTCAAAATTAATATATTATTAATTACCTTGTGTATAATAATTATATTTTTTAAAATCTTTATTTACCATAATTTAATGCTATTTTAATATTTTTTTTATAAATGAATTTAAATCTCAGATAAATTTAAATTTTGAAAATTAAAAAGGTATTCTTCTTATTTTATAATTAATACAATCGCTTTATATAAATTAGATTTCCAGATCTGTATGATGATGATAATGTAATAGCTGGTATCGTTCATCCTAGTTTCAAGTTAAATTGGCCATATATTAATTTGACTGAATCGAAAGGGCAACTTGATAGGATGATGGTAACGTTAAAAAATGTCATGCCTAACCACGATACTAATACTATAGCTAGATCGAAACCGCGGCCTTCCATAGACGATTTTTTTGAAATAACAATAATAATATTATTGAACCTCTAGATGCTTTTTTTAAATCTAAAAATACTCATTTAAATATCTTTGATGATTTTTTTCATATAAAAAGTGTGTTTATTAAATTTAATACTGCGTTGCCCTCAAGTGCTAGTGCTAAACATATTATTTAGTATAGCAAAGCTTATACTTTCTGATCGTGGCTCTAGACTTGGGGATGATAGTACCGAAATTTTATTATTATTAAAGTGCAATATTGAATAAATTATATATATATGTGTAACATTATAGTCATGTTTTTATACCAATATTTTATTTGTTGAAATAAAGTTATGTAAAAAATATTTTAAAAAAAAATCAAAATAGCGTAAAAAGTAGCTTTAGCTAAAGTAGCTAATAACGAAAATAGCGGTAGCGATAGCGCGCTACTTTTAAAAGTAGCGTTTAACAACACTTGTAATTTAAAATAAAATTAAAAAAAAATTATTATATGTTTTTGACAGAGATAAAGAAGGCGTAGACATAGAGATAAATTATGAGGTAAAAAGTGTTAAAATATTTTCCATATATTGGAAAGACGGCATAAAAAAAATTCTTGAGATAGGGCCTGACCGAATAAACAGATACGATGATAACTCTATCATATTTATAATGTTTTACTAACAAATTGATTAAAAGGCGTAGGCAATATTTAACGATATTTTCACCTTATTTCCAAGTTCCTAAATGACATTATAAAACCACAATTTTTCATAAAAATTTCTTGTGAATTATTTAATATTTCATTTTTTGTTTAAAATCCATTTTATTTATTAATATTTACTGAATATTTTAAATAAAACTTTCGAAAATTGGCTATGAATATAAAAGTATTTTTAAAAAATTCGTTAAATAATTAAATTGAATTTTTCCTTTTAATAGTTATAAGTCGAAATTTTTTTTATTTTAAATTAGACGAAAGAGGAATATATTGGAATTTTTTTAAAATGTCCTTATTATAATATAAAAAAAGAATAATAACAAAATGACCTTGAAGTTGCTAACACTATTGTAAAGAGAATTTTGAAATTATTGGTTTCTAAAGATCGCATAATTTATGTTTAAACATGAATATATTTTTTTTTAATAACACCTATTTATCCCAGTGTAGTCGCAACTCCCTTTTATAAGTATTTAGGTGTAATATAAAATAAAAATCATTTCATTTGAACATGAAAAAAGTATTTTGTAAATTTAGGCAGATGAAAACCTTTTTATCCCTTCATAGCAACGTTGCTTTTCTTGATTAATGGAATTGAGATGAGCAAGTTGTTTAAAATAAAGGCATTCCAAGAAGATCCAAGCATGGTTCTACATCATTTTTTAAAAAAATAAAGAAAATCTATATTAATCAGTGTTTTAAACATGATATACAAAAAACAAACACAATGATTATTGTACTTCAAATTATATGACCATTTTTTGTTTAATTATTAATTTACTACTTTTAAATAAGAGAAATAGAGTTTGAAACCGAAACTAAAATTTTTACGAATCTCTTTTGAGGTTTCTAAAAATATATTCGGTATATATCAATATGCACTTTAACCGATTCCATACCACCAATTAAAAGATATGTAAGCCAATACTACCTATAATTATTGCAAAATATAATAATGTATAGTATATTTATATTTATAGAAAAAACAAAGATATAATTCATTATTATCATTTTTTATTTATTTATCATTTATAATTAATTTATAAAATTACTAATATTAAATTAAAAGAAATAGGAAATAAAAATTAAGAGTGCTTTCTTTCTTTTTTTAATAGGTTTTTCATATGAATTTTTTATTACGTAATGCGACAGAAATTTTTTTTTAAATTTATGAAGAAATTTTTATTTTTGAGTATCGGACACTGGTATACGTTAAAATATAAAGTATCGACTGAAACTGATCAATATATGTTATGTATCAGTTATGTAAAGTATCCGAATTCGTAAATAAGAAAAAAAAAATCGTACTCCATTAATAATAAATCCAATATTCAAAATAAATATTAAAAATGTACGCTGCAGCTGCACGTTGGTTTTATTTTTATATAAAAACCAAATGCGTCTGATGGTAAATATTATCAAATTCTTTATATATTAAATTGAATTTGACAATCTCTCTTATGATTTCCAATTATATTTGGCAATTGAGTATTACTACAGTATAGTTCTGCATATACTTTTACTTCTGATTAAATTAAAGCTTATAAATATAAAGTGATTTTAATTTTAAAAAAAATCAATTGTTTAGAATTAAATTCAAAATTTATTAGATATTTTTTAAACTTTTTTAACCACAAAAATACAAATAAAGTATTTATTAGACATTATTTTATCGAGCCTATACATTATAAATTATTTATTTATGAAAGCCGCATCATCTTAAAATAATAGAATATATAGCATTTTTATAGTACGTTTTTACAATTTTAGAATTTGTGTAAATTTAATTTTTTTAAAAAATATTTTTTGCTTTGTAAACAAAATTTTTTATCTGAGAGTGGGAATTGGGATTATTCATAAATCTCTTTGATAGGGGTAAAATGCACATAGATGGACCTAACCTTCATATCACGGGTTTGTTATTTATATATTTTTCCTAAAATATTTATCATTATATACGAAAAAGAATATCGTTTTGAAGTGTAGTGAGTTGCTTAGTCGGTTCTATATCACCAGTAGCATATATCTGGATTCAAATCCAACTAGTACCATATTTATTTCTGAAGCCAACTCTATGCTAAGGGGTATGATATATAGAATATCGAAAGCAGCGGCGTGATTCCGCCTCTTAATATTTAAAAAATGAGTTCTTACTTACTCTTATATTATTTTGTGTAATTTGGTTAATATTTATCCAAAATTTGGTCATTTTTAATATACCTCCAAAAAATTGGTTGATGTTTAGCAAATGGCTTTGCAGGTATTACGGCCTTGGGGAATGGTAATGTGCCTTTCAGGTGTTGTTATGTTTTAAATAATATGATTTGTTCTTTAATTAAATAGCATATTTATCCTCATACTAGGACTACGCATAGAATTTAAATAATATTTATTGAACGGATATATTATTGGATTTATTTTATAAAAAATGACCCTTTAAAGGAATATTTAAGAATTTGTTGTTGATATAACGCAAATGAAACGATCGTAGTGTACGATTAGTTAGCTGTTAAGGGGAAAAAAAGACATAAATACATAAATAAGCTTTTATTTAAAATTTACCTCTTAAGGTTCCAATCCTTAATATTGATTTGAAAAATATTCTTTAAATAATATTAAAAAGTCTATTCACTATGTTTTTGGAAGATTCATCAAATAATTAATTTCATAATTGTATAATAATACTATTATATATATATATACTAAATATTATAATTTATTTTCTATTTAACAGTTGAGAAGGAATCCAAATACAGCGCAGCTAACGTTGACAAAATCATCCATTTTTATGACCTGAATTATATACCAAAGCCCAGTATCAGGCATATAAGAATTTTCATCTCAAGCCATCATGAAGGTTATTTACAAATTTTTATATCGATACAAATATTTTAGAGGTCCGAAATTTTTTTAAAAAATTCTATTTTTAAATCTAGTCTGGAATTTTTTTTATGAAATATTTTTGGCTCGGTTCGAGTTTTCAATCTTTAGCTCGATTTGGATTTTTTAAAGTTTGTTATTTTATGGATCGATCTCGCCCCGATTTTTTAAATCTTATCATTTTAATAAAGAAATTTGAAATAATTTTGGCTGTATTTGCCAACTGGTTTTAAAAGTCAAGTATAAAGTCAATTTTAGAAAGTAAAATTTTGGGGATTTTATCAGACGCGTAATAAAGAGTAAGGAAATTTCCTCTCCCCCATCGCAAAGTGCCTATTTTCGTAAATACCATTTTATAATAAAAATTTTCCCCCTACACACTTCTCGCTCCCCTCTCTTTAAAAAATGTGTACAATATATCACTATAAAGAAGAATTTGAAGAAAAATTTTGTGAATGTTAATAATCTTTTAAAATAACGACTATAAAATTTATAATTTTTAGAAAAAAACATTCTTATATAAAAATCCAAAGCTATTTTTATAAAAATCTAATATAGCCAAAGTCTTACAATAAGTGGACCTAAAGATTTCCAATAAAATGGGGGAAACACCACCTAATAGGGCTACCCTCCTACCTTAACAAAATCCCTGATACGCTTAATTTATACAGAGTATAAAAAAATTAATAAAAATAAATATTTTGAGTCAATATTTCTTTATCCTAAACCAGGACCCTGAACCCGAACCCTTTTTAGTTTTATTCCTGAACCTGAACTCAGACCCGGACCATTTTTTGTCGAAGGGTTCACATCCCTGCTAATAACAAAATATTTTCTACAACTGTCATTACCTAAATGAAATCCATTTTCTGATATTAAAAAAGCACTAGTATACACATAAATAGTTTACCAAGTTTCAACAAATTTCTATATAATATCAAACTCGATAACCTTAGACTAAAACAAACAGAACTCCCTTCACTGCCAAGATCAAAAAAAATCATGAATAAAAATTTTTCTTTCAAATAATAGACATATGTTTTAAATATATTATTCTGGCCTAGGTATTTAGTTAACACTATTATTAGCACCTCTAAACTTTTACTAAAGTTTATTCATATTGATATTTTAAGTGGCAATATATTCTATGTAGAATATTCTAGGAAATTTTTTTTTTACAAATTAGAATTCGAATATGAACGCCATTTGTTAACCTCTATTTTATTACCGGATCTCCAAAATTTTTGTTCTCAATATGGTTACGATGTTGAATTCTTGAACTTTAACGCAGCTTCTCACATTGACCCATATTATGATTCCCAGTTGTACGAATATTCATACCAATGTTTAGAAGATTGTTTTGTTGAAAGCAAGGGAGTGTTTTTTGTGGTAATTATTACAATAGTACAAATAATTTGGATTAACTGAATATGGATGTGTTTTTTATATACTATAAATTCAAGGGTTTAATTGGAGAAAAAGATGGTACCATACCGGTTCCAGCCAATATATCAACATCTGATATGGAGGTTTTAACGGAATACATAAAAGACGATACCAAAAGTTAATTAAAAAGAATTATGAAAAATTATTTTTTATAATAGGTAATTATAAAAGTTGAAGTACCTTGAAAATAAATGTGATGATTATAAGGAAATAGTTAATATTTAGTCACTATAAGCTCTTAATATAAGGAAATTAATCTATATAGATGTTATGGTTAATATAAAAAGGTTTTTGGAAGTTTAATTTATCTCAATTCAAAAAATCTATAAAAAAACAATCATATTTTTTTTCTTCCTTTCCTACTTTATTGTCTATTTTTTGGTTGTGTTCAAATCTTTTTTCTTTAAGGAATACAAAGACAAACTTTTAAGTTATGAAAATTTTATAAAATTTGAAAAAAATTTTGGCCATATTTTTTTTGATGTTTTGGACACAGTGTTATAAGAATATATTTAAAAAGAATTTTGGCCATATTTTTTTTTGATGTTTTGGACACAGTGTTAAGAATATATTTTAAAATATTCTTTTTCATAATCCCCCGCCCTTCTTGTAAAATATATTTTGATATTTTTATTTGTTTTTATATGTTTTATATTCCCTTTATTCCAAATTTATATGTTTTTACTCTAAAGATTATAAAGTTCGATTTTTTTTAAAAAATAAATTATTTATGACCCGAAGGCTACCTAATTACCTTGAAAAATAAGATATTCTTTAGGTATCTTAATATATAACAATTATTTTGTCGATTTTATCATTTTAAAGGGCAAATCATATTAGAGATCTGCAAAGTTAGGCCCGACCCGTACCGGCCCGAGTCGGGCCTAATTTTATTTAAAATAATTTTGTTTGGGTCGGGCCGGGCCTAATATTTTTAAAAAAATTTGGGCCGGGTCGGGTCGGACTTTGGAAATTTTTTTAAATATATCTAAATTTATCAATTTTATATTGAATTTTTTATGTAAAATAAAAATTTTTGATTTTATTTATTGCAACTAAACGCCATATAACATATGTCTTTTATTTTGAGTAATTATAAAAATTAATTTCTATATTTAAATAAATTCGGACCTGGCCGGGCCGCTAAATTTTTTTAAAAGAAGTTTCGGATTCGGGCCGGGCCGGGCCGGCAAATCTTTTTAAAAAAATTTCGGGTTCGGGCCGGGCTTGAAAAATTAGGCCCGATGCAGATCACTAAATCATATTATAATTAAAAGTCCACAATGTATAATTATATTATTATAAATTACATGTGATAGGGTGTATACTAATCTAATTCGGTATATGCAGGAATTTTTAACATTTACATTTGAAGTCCTAAAGATTAACTTGACCGGAATTGTATTCCAGCAAGTTTATAGTATACCTACCCTTTAAATTTCAGATAATTCAAATATAAATTTCTGCCATCCCCCTATTTTAAATAAGTATCGGTATATATACTTGAATATTATATTTATCAGAGATCAGCAGACCCGGCCCTATCGGGCAAGGCCGTATTAAAATTTTAAATATATCCGGGCCGGGCCTAAAAAATTTTTTTTTTAAAATCCCGTTTATTTTAAAACTAAATATTTCAAATCGCCATTATTATCTATAAAAATTAAAAATAAATGTAATATATTTAAAAAATGTCCGGGAGTCTGAAAATTTTCTTTAAAAATAATTCGGGTTGGGTCGGCCTAAAAATATAAAACCCGGGCAGACCGAAAAATTTTTTTTAAAAAAATTCAAGCCGGGCCGTGTATATGGAACCTTTGCAGGTCTCTAATATTTATTTATATTCTAAAATTGATAAATATTAAAATAAATTGGTCTTAAGATTTTATACTATATAGAAATTTAAATAAATATAAACTACAGGATATACAATTTTAAAAGATAAATAATGTTTAGATTCAAACATTCATATGCTGACATTCGAGAGTTTATCTTATTTGATATCTCTAAGGTGTCTTATAAAAAAAAATTTGTAAATTTAGTAATGAGTCATTATATACTGTCTTTTTTTTAAAATTGATTAACTAAATAAACCTTGATCAGAAATGGCACTCATTCAAGAATGGTATTCAAGAAACAACATCAACACCCCATTTTATTCTCTCGAAAATTTATCAAAAGCATTCCCATTTTATTACAAGTGCATATGATTTATTAATGCATGTGTTATGACAAATTAACTTGATTGTTAAATGTGGACCAAGTATGAATACTAATATTATCATCTTTGTGAATATTTTTCATATTGGACACACATACATATATAGTATAATAATAATAAATATATGAATTCATTTGGGACAATGAAATATGTTTCAATTTCTGATGCACAGATTATAAATAAACTTGAATATACAAGTTGCATTGAATATTATGATTTAACTGCTTTAAATAATTTTTAATATTTATATTTATAAAAATAAATAGATCGAACCCTGAAAAGAGTAAATCAGAACAAAGCAAGTGGGTCAAAACGCATAATGATCTGGTGCATTTATTAAGACAAATATCTTTGAAAGCCTTCGATGATGGAAAAATCGATGCTGAGATGTGTGTCAAAACAAGTTTAATATAATTTTTTTATTATATCATATATTAAAAATTAATTACTCTATTATTATAGGGTTCTAACTGAAATCTAATTTCTTGCCATCTGATCTCGTTTACCATCTAACGGAACTTATATTTTATAACAGTGTATATTTAATTTTTAGGTGTTTTTTTTACTGTAAATCAATGGAGTTCAGTGTTACCAATAATATTTTTACCCCAAGTCAAAAGGTGGAGTCAATAACCTGTGATAAGTTAGCAAGCTAAAAATTAAAGATTATTTAATATTTTAAAAGGAAATCATTATTTTTTTTTCGAGTTTAAATAGTGATAATTAACAACACTTATTATTTTATTTTAACCCTATTCTACCAAACAATTTAATTCGATAATATTTCTATTTATATTATCTTTGGGTAAAAACATATTTAAGCCCTAACGCTTCATTTGGAGAAAGCATTGACACTGTCTAGTACCAATATAGATAACCATTGCGTTTTTATAGTTCGAGGTATAAAAACATTTTAAATTTAAATTTAATAATATATTTATCTTATATAGGTAATAGTAATCGGACAAAAATTCTCTTATTTTTTTTAAGTTAGCAATATAATTTTAAAATGATATTTCGACAATGAAAATTAAATTCCCACAAACACTAAAATCGACTAATTCGAAATAATATAATAAAACGATAGTTAAGGATCTCGAGTATAATCGATGGCCTGATAGTACAAGTGGTGTATTGCTTAAAAATCTGAAGGGGCTTATATAATGTTATTAAAAATATGATATGCATAAAAAATCGATTTTTTTTATTACTAATATTATTAAAGTCTTTTCAAAATTAATCTACAAATTTAATACCATCGATATCTAAACAAATTAAAATATATATAAATATGAATTTAAAAAATTCAATCTTTCAATTCTTCGTTTTCTTTGGACTGTATTTTTTTTGAAAAGGTTGCATTCGTCCGCGATGATTCCTTTTCCATATTTTAATATATGGATCTGGAATCCATTCTGGATATCGAAGGTTCATTAATATTTATGAACATTAAACTTGACATATTATTTACACTTAAACTCGTTCGATAATCTACCATGATCAATTCATGAGATGAAGTCCCTTTCATACTCGACATTACTTCGTGTTAATAAGGAATCTTTTCAACTTTTCATTAGGAATATCTCCAGCAGTCGTTCATATTCATTTAATTTGAATCTTTGGCAGATTTCTTTTTTTTCCCTTTAGCCAAATGGCCCATCTAGGCTCTTAGGCCCAATTTTATTTTTGAATTAAAAATATATTGGAAGAATTTGTAAAATAAAAAAAATAATTTATCATTATTTATTCAAGTAATTTAACTATCGTTTTCAAAGCTATCCATTAGACGGGACTGTATGATGTTTTTAGAGGAATTATAAACTGGTCCGTTTTTAATATTACTAGTTTTGAATTTTTGTGGTATATTTTTAAATGAAAGTTTAATTTTTGAATCTAGCGACATTTGAATAATCCACATGATATTTAAATATTATTGTCAACATGATCCTAATGATTTAATTTTTCAAATATCAGTCAATTATTAAAAAATGGTTCATTGGGATACTGAAGAACTCGATAAAAAAAATATTCTAATTTGTTATTTTTTTCAAAGTAGAATGATTAATCTTAGCAACTAACAACTTATCTACTTGAAAATTTCGAATTCCCAATGAAACATTTTAAGATTATGCTAAAATTGGATAATATCTTGCTTGTAGTGTTATTAAATCGGCCCTCAATCTTAGCAGACGAAAAAATTTGATAAGTCTTAAGGTAAGAATATATATATTTTTTTAAGATTCTTAAGTTAAAGGGTTATCTCTTAAAAATTTGGTTTAGCCTTTCTAGAATCGACTTTTAACCTGCTAAAAACGGAGCCATTTATTTACTTGGAATTTCACACTATGCTTTAAAATAAAGCGGAACAGCAGCGATTTATAAAAATTTCTATGGTGGTTATAAATTTTTTCAAAAGAAATTTGATGTTTAAAATATTATTGGGGCAATAATATCTATTTAATCAAGGGTTCGAATCTCACCGCTTCCGAATTAAAAACATGTTATCACTTCACTATATCTGTATTTTTCAATCTCCGAAATAATCTAATGAATTGCCTTTTTACTCAGGTCATATTCTCTCAATTTTTATCAAAACAAATTTATTTATGTATAAATTTGGAATGCAAACACAATATAGAGTAAGAAATATAAATAAATTAGAAATAAAATTTGGTTAAATCATAATTGCCGTGAATAATATTATTTTATCGAGATAAAGGGGGCATAAAGAGGTTCTTTTGACATTGAGTATTAATAGCGATGCAAAAGATTCTTTCGATAGGTGTACTGTTAGCAGGTATGCAAAGGACTTTCCTAGCTAAATTAGCTAGTCTAAAGTTCTGGTCTCTTTTTTCCCAAAAACATTTATAAATATTAAAATATAGTTAGTTTTGATTATAAAAAAATTTATGTAATAAAAATAAATATTTATGGTAATTTGTTGCATTTTAATAATAAAATCATTTCAATATTATCATCCCCAAGAGGTCCGTGAAGTTGGCCCCACACTTTTTGATTTTCAATGGTTTATCAGTTGGACTGATTTGTACCCGATTTGTACCGTTTTCAGTTCGATTTGTACCATCACCGTTTTTGAGATATTCAAAGAACAAAATGGGGGGCCAACTTCACGACAGCCCCCCAACATTTGAACTTAAAAATAAAAAGTGCATAGGTCGATAGAGAATGATTTGTACCGTTTTCAGTTCGATTTGTACCATCACCGTTTTCCAGCTATTGACCGTTAAAAATATGGCGCCAAAAATAAGAAACACTCAAAATTTATTTTTTAAAAACATTTTTTTAACATACAACGATAGAGAATTTTTTTTCTCTTCCTAATGATGCCTCAAATTATGCTTTATCTTTATTATTTATTTCGGAAATCAAATTTTTAACCTTATATTATAGCGTGAAGTTAGCCCCCCCCCCGATATTCAAAATAGTTTGCTTATTTATAAATATTTTTCAAAAATGGACATATAATATAGAATATTACTTTATTATATATATAAATAAATATATTTACAAAAATAAACACAATAATATATGATATCGTTTTATTAAAGAAATATAATGATGGTTAATTTGAAAGTGTTTCTGTTGAATTTGTAGGTTATAATTCAACAGTAGTGTTTTGATTCTTTGATTGCTCCATCAAAGTCTCACATTTGAAAAAGTATTTACTTCTGCTATGATTGTAGATACAATCTAAATAATATTAAATTTATAGATAAAAAAAATATATTTTACTGGCTTCAGATGGCACCCTTTCCAAAAGAGCCAAAAGTTTATCATCCAAGAGGGCATTTATTTTTTAACTAGTAACCTTTGGTGTAATTTCTTTTATCATTGTTCATAAATATTTACTAATTTTTTGGTAACCTTATCCTATATTCTAAAATGATATAATATCAATTAATATATAAAATGATATAATAAAAATTACTATATTCTAAAATTATATAAATATAAATTAATATATTATAAAATGATATAATATAAATTACTATATTCTAAAATTATATAAATATAAATTAATATATTATAAAATTATATAAATTAATATATTCCTAAATGATATAATATCAATTAATATATGAGATAAATTATACATACAAATTTGTATACATTTTCAATTTTAGCGCAAAATTATAAAATAAATCAAACCAGTTAGCTTTTTTTAACACTTGAAAAAATCCAATCTGCACAATACCATATAAAATGCATTATAAGCTCTTAAAACGGAGCGTAATAACATATTTATTTATTTTATTATCCAAATTTTATATATAATAAATCATTTATGCGACGTAGGCAATAAGCGATATAATGACCTAAAATATTTGGATCGTTTTGCTCATTGCCTTCATAAGCTATTACACCTCTAAAGGTGTAAATAATTTGATCAATTTTGATATAATTTGGTATTGTTTTTATATCAATTAAAGGGTATTGCCCCGTTTTTAATGTGATTTCTAATAATATATTTAACGATTTAAAAGTAACGTAGAAGATAATATATAGTTACAAGATATATTTGAAATTTTTTTTACATTACATATCCCTCTACCTATAGGCTGGGCTAAATAATCATTAATAATTGATTCTAAATTAGATATATTATTTATATGTTCAATTGAAAATGATAAAATGCCATTTTTGTAAATTATATTAAAACATGACTCCTTAGAACACACGACACTTTCTTCCGTCGTGTGTTCAAACATACCTATTGCTATTATTTTGTTAACTATCGTTGTACGTTAAGAAATTTAAAAAAAAAAAAAATTTGAGTGTTTTTTATTTTTGGCACCATATTTTTAACCGTCAATAGCTGGAAAACGGTAATAGTACAAATCGAGTTTGAAACGGTACAAATTAATCCCGTTTTAAAAATTTGAAAAATCTCAAATTTTGAATATCGGGGGGGGGGCTAACTTCATGCTATATAATATAAGGTTTAAAATTTGATTTCCGAAATAAATAATGAAGATAAAGCTTAATTTTAGGCATCATTATGAAGAAAAAAAAATTCTCTATCGTTGTACGTTAAGAAATTTGTTTAAAAAAAAAATTTGTGTTTTTTATTTTTGGCGCCATATTTTTAACGGTCAATAGCTGGAAAACAGTAATGGTCAAATCTAGTTTGAAACGGTACAAATCGGTACAAATCAATCACGTTTTAAAAATTTGAAAAATCTCGAATTTTGAATATCGGGGGGAGGGGGGGGGACTAACTTCACGCTATAATACAAGGTTTAAAATTTGATTTCCGAAATAAATAATGAAGATAAAGCTTAATTTGAGGCATCATTAGGAAGAGAAAAAAAATTCTTTATCGTTGTACGTTAAAAAATTTAAAAGAAAATAAATTTTGAGTGTTTTTTATTTTTGGCGCCATACTTTTAACGGTCAATAGCTGGAAAACGGTGATGGTACAAATCAAACTGAAAACGGTACAAATCATTCTCTATCGACCTATGCACTTTTTATTTTTAAGTTCAAAAGTTGGGGAGCTGTCGTGAAGTTGGCCCCCCATTTTGTTCTTTGAATATCTCAAAAACGATGATGGTACAAATCATGTACAAATCAGTCCAACTGATAAACCATTGAAAATCAAAAAGTGTAGGCCAACTTCATGGACCTATCTCCAAGTCTAGAGCAACGATCAGAAAGTATAAGTTTTGCCTTATTAAATAATCTCTCGACACTAACACTTGAGGGTAAGGGCGTAATCGCCTAGCGACATTTTATCACACGACACTTTATCATGCGACACTTTATCACGACGACACTTTATCACGACGACACTTTATCACGACGACACTTTATCACGACGACACTTTATCATGACGACACTTTATCATGACGACACTTTATCACGACGACACTTTATC